ACCCTTTAGGGCCAAATTTGTTAGCGAATTATCCATAAAAAAAATTCTTCAATCTCCAAAATTTGAAATTCTTCTAACTCTCGAGTTTCATAGTTAGAGAATCAAGATCTACTTCAGATATTATCATAGACAAGTATGAAGAAAATTCAACTTCTTCATTTTCTCCATTGGGATCATAGATATATTCCTCCTTCTCAATCTCAAGCTCACAAACAAATTATTGCTTCTATTTGATTTCAAACTTCTCTTTTCTAACTCAAATTTTGCTACAATAACTAGTATTTTAGTCTCACAGGTCTGATGATGATTTTGGTTGATTTGGTTACTGGTCTCATAAATTTGATAATTACGAGAGGGTGGAGAGATAGTATGAATAGTAGATTCGTCAGGAGTGAACCTCTTAATTGCATATCTATTACGAATACATCGCCTACGTCATTGTTTTGCAACCGCATGCTCATCACAAACACATCTCTTGAAGTAGTCTTGTATTTCAAGCCTATCAAATACTTACGAGATATTGTCGTACAGTAGCATAGTACAATCAAACCAATGATTCTGGTGAAATGTTACAACAATCAATCATTGTAGGAGAAACTTGCTCTAGTGTTAGCTAACGCGGTAGTAAAAGTATAGGAATGGGAATAGTTACACAAACTAATCTGAATAAATGAACCAATGATGATTCATGATCAATTCTAAAGGAAAAATCATGATTCAACAAGAACCCACACAAAATTCAATAAGAATCTAAAACTTGAGAACTCTTAAGAATAGGAATAATCCAACACGAAGGTGTTGAAATTTTGATAAAATATGTCTAAATCTATGTAATAAAACCATAGATATATCCTTATTATAGATGATTGGTCCTAAACTAAATAGAAAACTAAAAATATAATGAAATGAAAAAATGAGCTAAAATTACGATACTATCTATAATTACGTAAAAGGCCAAACATTGGTTTGATTTTTGGGCTAGTTATCATCTGGAATACATTTTAACTATTATAGTATAATAGAGTTAAAGATGAAAATATAGTAAAAGGAACATAGATAGTTTATTCGAGAATCGATGAGATGAGAAAAGATTGTTAACACTATGAAACCCGAATTTCTTTTCATCTAATGTTGTAGCCCTCTGAAATCTTTTTCACTTTCTTCATCTAATGTTGTCTCCATATACACTATAGAATCTGAATTTTTCATTATCAATTTATCATAGTAATCTCATAGTCTCTTGTATAGATCTTTGTAACTCCCATAGATCAAGATCTTTGCTTTCATGAACATCTTACAATCATAAGTTTTGGTGATATGCACATTCAGTTCTCTATATACCTCATCTTTAAATTCTTTCACTATTAGTCTCTTGTTCAGCCTTAGAAAGTCTACATACCTTCTTGCCAAGAAATCTGAGGTAGCTCTCTTAAGAGTTTTTGCCTCATGTATATGCTAGTCCCATTATTTTGATAGCAAATGAGTCATTACCTTCTTCAATTTTAGAATCAAACTATATACTCACAATGAGTAGCCTTATATTTCACCCTTATTCTCTGCTAGGGCTGTCAACGGTCCGGGTCTGGACCCGGACCCGGCCCGGACCCGCCAATATTTGACGGGTACGGGTAGGCATATAGTTCCGGGACCCGGACCCGGACCCGGACCCGTTTAACCTAATAGATTTGCGGGTAGGATACGGAATATGCCGTTCCGACCCGTATAGGACCCGAACCCATTTTTTAATTAATTAATAATTAAAAATATATACCCAATTTTGTTCAACCCTAAATCCCTAATAGTCTAATACCCACGTAACCCACCGCCGCCGCACTCTCTTTTCCTTTGCTCCTTACCCAGCCCCAGCGACCATTTTTCTCCTCTGCCTCCCAACTCCTGAGTCGCGCCTCCACCACCACCACTCACCAGATCTGCAATTTTCAGGAAATTGACTGAAGTTTGAGTCTGACCGAAAAGGACTAAACGTCTAAACCAAACGAGTCATCTAATTTCTAAACCTAATCGTCTAATCTTCAATCTACTCTTCACAGTTCACTCCACACTCCAGTCTTCGGCTCTTCGCCTCCTCGCCGTCTTCAGTCTTCCTGGAGTTCCTGCTCGGCTGCCGCCGCTGCTTTTGCCGACTGCTCGGCTTCTCAGTCAACTACTCCAGTCTTTGGCGTCTTCGGTCTTCCTGCTTGGCTGCTCTTGCGGACTTGCCGATTTGCCGTCGGTGCTCAGCACGAAGTTCTATCTTAACAAGTAAACTTGATCCCTTCGGCCCTCTGTTTATATGTATCATCAATTTCTTTTTCGGCCCTCTGTATATATGTCTCATCAATTTCTTTTTTTTTTAAATTTTGTTAGTATATTTCTGATGTTGCTGTACTTATTTTTTTCGGCCCTCTGTACTTATATTTCTGATGTTGCTGTACTTATTTTTTTAAATAAGTTGCCAGATTATGTTGACGGGAAAATGTTGGAATTTATGGAGGAAAATAGCGGTGGAATTTTTATTAGTTGGGTAGTTTTGTTCTCTGTTTCAGTTTACTAGAATAATCTCGAGACTAGCTATTCAGTTTTGTTCTTTGTTCTCTGTTTCAGTTTCTTTGTTCTGATCTTGCTGTACTTATTCACTAAGTACATAGGTTATGTCATTGGATCATTGGATGATTGCACGCATGATTAATTGCATTGCTAGAAGATCTGGAATTTTATTCCTCAGAATTGGTCTGAGCTTACATTTCAAAGAATGAAGGGATAGAAACACTTTTCGGATCATTTGTCATCTTCTCGGATTGTCAATTAACAAATATAAGAGAAAGGAATTTGTTTCCCCTCTATTAAAACTGCAATTTGGTGTTATCATCAATGGCTTGCTAATGATAAGACTTCGCGTTGAGCTTTGCTGCAATTTATGTGTTATAGTCCTATAAAAACATAATAACAAGGCCAGTTAATATCTTAATGAGCTTTACTCTTCTGATATGGCTGGAATGTTAATAAACTCAAGAATCTGGTGCATCATAAATTCCTGGACAGTACATCTTATACTCGTGCTAAAAATTTTGCATTCTGCTGTTTAGATTTTTTGCATTCACTGGATTTTGAATGCAACATTCTAAGGAATTTGTCTTGTACCATGTTTATCTAATAAATTATGTTATTCACTAATTGCAGGATGTCATCTTTGCCGAGTAATCCAACAGGACCAAGTAGCACAGCTGATGAGAATGAGGTTGCCATTTTGGATTCGGAAGAGGAGGAGGTGAAGGAAGATGATTCGTGTAAGAAACCTAGGGAAAAGAAATTAACATCTAAGGTATGGTTTGATATGGATAGAGTTAAGACTGCTACTGGTATTGTTGCCGTATGTAAGCATTGTAAAAAAAAAATGGCCGGGGATAGCTCATGCGGGACAAGCCATTTGAAAAAACACATAGATAATTGCATTGCTAGAAGACATAGGAGTGGGGGGCAGCAAGTACTTCAGTTGGCTAAAAATGCTTTGGAGGATAAAGTTAAAGTTCAAACTTTCAAGTTTGATCAAGAGAGAAGTAGAATGGATTTGGCTAGAGCTATAATAAAACACAACTATCCTTTTAACATAGTTGAGCATGAGTACTTTGAGATTTTTCTGAATAATTTGGAGCCAAATTTTAAGCTGATTTCTCGAAATACAGCCAGGGCAGATGTGATTAGTGTTTATAAAGAAGAAAAGGCAAAATTGTATAAGTATTTGGATGATTTTGATGGTAAGATAAGTGTAACTACTGATCTTTGGACATCAGATCACCAAAATTTTGCCTATGCCTGTTTGACAGCTCATTATGTCAATGAACATTGGGAATTGAAAAAGAAAATTATTGCTTTTAAATCTGTTCCATATCCTCATGATGGTGAAACATTATTTAGATTTATTTCTGATATCATCTTGGAATGGAACATTGATAAGAAGCTGATCTCTGTTGTTGTTGATAATGCATCTTCAAATGATTCAATGGTTAAATGTTTGAAATCATGGCTGTTGGATAAGTCATTGCTCAATTTAGGAGGTGATCTTTTTCATGTTCGATGTAGTGCACATATTCTTAATTTGATTGTGCAAGATGGGTTAGCTATTGTTGGAAAATTGCTTCATAAGATTCGAGAGACCTTAAAGTACTTGAAAAGGTCTACTTCTTCTTGTCAAAAGTTTGAGAATGCAATTAATCAATGCAAGCTGAAAAATAAAAAAAAAAGTGGGTATGGATGTTCAAAATAGATGGAATTCTACATTCTTGATGCTTGAGACTGCTTTGCCTTTGAAGGAAGCTTTTTGTCGTTTAGAACAAATGGACAGAAATTACAAGTTCAATCCTTCAGAAAATGATTGGAAAGTGGCTAGTGTTGTTCATGGTTGTTTGAAAAAATTTTATGAAGCCACATGTCATTTTAGTGGTTCTAATTTTCCCACAGCAAATGTTTTTTTTCCTGATATATGTAATATTCGTATTAAGATGAGGCAGTGGGAAGTTAGTGAGCATGATTTTATTCGAGAAATGGCTATTCCAATGAAAGCAAAATTTGAGAAATATTGGGAAGAATGTTCTTTGGTGCTAGCTATTGCTGTGGTGCTTGATCCTAGATTTAAGTTGGCTTTAGTAGAGTATTATTACAATGAACTTTATGGAGAAGGTGGTGAAAGATATGTGGATAGAGTTCGTAATGCTATTGCTGACTTGTTTGTTGAATATGGAGGTGACCTTGCTCCTTTTTTGAGTTATGTTGGAGATAATATAGGAGAAGGGACTTCTAGTTGTGGTAACAAAAATATAGACGTAGAAGATGATGATGATGAGTTGTCTGATTTTGACAAATGGTATCAGCAATCATGTTCTTCTACTATTCTTGCTAGCCAAAAATCTGAATTGCAGTCATACTTGGACGAGCCTGTATTTCCAAGAAAAGATGATTTTGACATACTAGGCTGGTGGAAGGCAAACAGTCCAAAATTGTCTATTCTTAGCAAGATGGCTCGTGATATTCTTGCAATTCCAGCTACTACTGTGGCATCGGAATCAGCATTTAGCGTTGGCGGAAGGGTAATTGATGAGACCCGTGCTGCTTTGCTTCCTGATGTGGTCGAAGCTTTGATAACAACTGGAGATTGGTTACCTTTGAAAAAGAAAAGAAGTAAGTCCTTCATGTTTATGTTTCTTTTGTTGTTTTTTCTTTTTAAATCCATATTACAAGTTTGTTTGGTTGAGTTACTCTAGAAAGACTAATCTACTTTCTTTCTTTTTGTTTTCTTAGAAGTATTTGGAGAAGATTTGGGTGATTCTTCTAAAGTTCCCAAGTTAGGGTGATGTATTTGAGTAAGGCCAATTTGATTTCTTTCTTACCTAATTTTTTTTTTGTATTAGTTAGTAATTTGTTTACAAATATGTTGTATCCTTGTTTTTGTTGCAGAAAATTGTGAAACATGAGAGCCATGAAGACTATTGTAATCTACAGGACTTCATTAGTTGGTTGATGTATTTGGAATTTATGTTTGATTGGACTTTTTAGAAATTGTAATTTGTTGGATGTCATATTGGCTTTGTTGCTAATATTGGCTTTGTTGAAATTGTAATTTGTTGGATGTTGGACTTTTTAAATCCTTGTGTTTGTTGGATTAGATTATATGAAATAGTTTGCTACATGCTGTTTTCTTCTTGTTCTACGGTAGAACAAGGTTTGCATTCTCAATAGTTTGCAAAAGTTTGCATTCTGTTGAAAAACTACGGTAAAACTACCGTAGAACAGGTTTGCATTCTCAATAGTTTGCATTTTCCAGGAGTTACTTGAACAGATTTTTAACGGGTCTGATTGGCGGGTAGACCCGGCCCGGATTCGGGACCCGTCGGGTACGGGTCCGGTGACAGATTAGAAGACCCGTCGGGTATTCGGGCCGAATCCGGAACTAATCTAGTATAACGGGTCCGGGTCCGGATATATGCATTCCGGCCCGGACCCGGCCCGTTGACAGGCCTATTCTCTGCTTATCCTATTTTACCCACTTAATGTCCTTGTCTTATTTGATTGCATAATTGTCCACTGCCATCTTGAACTTATGCTTATCATCAAATTGTTGACCAAAATAAAATTTTGGGTCTTTCATGCCAATTTCTAGTTTGAACCTCAGTAGTTTGAATTTTATTCTTGCACTTGACGAGCGTGAGGTATACATACAATAATAAACTCATTTTACAGTTAAGTTTTACATTTATAAAATCTTAAATACTCCATACACAATTTTCTACAAGTATACAGATTGAAATTGAGTATAGAGTATTAAGGGTCGAATCCACATGAAGATTGGACAATTACCAGTACTACTAAAGTTTCTCTACTATTTAGACGATCAACAAATCAAAGGAAATAAAACTATACTAAACTATGTAAGAAAATAACAAATGAAAACTCCCTAGGTCATGATATTCCTAACTATTCATGCAAATGTAATTTTTGGATTATTGAGTATTATTATTTTGGTTAGTTATGGCATAATTTTTTTGTACATGTGAAACCTACTCTCGTAGTGAATCAACTATACTTGTAACTAAGTCAATCTACTCTCATGGGTATAAAATTAATTACAAATTCATTATTTCTATGAAATTATATGAAATAAATTACTAAAATCATAAAAATGCACATCTACTCTAGTGTGTGTACTTCCTAAATTTAGCACTTCTTAAACTAGTATTAAATCCCAATTTTCATTTAAGGAATAACACATTTAGAAAATCACAATTAATTGTACCAAATTAATCATGATTTTAAAAAGTAAAAGTGCTAAATAAATTGTTCAAAATAATAGTATTAAATAGCCAAAAAATTAACATAATACAATCATAGAAAGTTTAACCAAAACCCAAGACATGAACTTTAGAAACATATAATAAACATAGAATCCAAACTTGTATAATAACTAAATATGAAATCCAATACAAGTGAGAAAGTAGTAGAAGAAATATCACCCTAATCACATAAGATCAAACTCTTCATCTTACTCTTTAATCTGCATCCAAGTTTAGCTCCACACAAGAAATGGATGAAACTAGCTAACTTAAATTATCCTACACTACTCTAACTAAAGAACTAAGAAACTAGCTAAGAACTACATTTTTGTTAGAGAGAGAAAATAGCATTCATTTGCTATTTTCTTGCATAGTTTAGCATAGTGTTATTTTTTTTTTATTTGTTGATCGTCTAAATAATAGAGAAATTTTAGTAGTACCGGTAATTGTGCAAATTTCCTTATGGATTCGACGCTTAATACTCTATACTCAATCTCGACCTATATACTTATAGAAAATCACGTGTGGGGTATTTATGATTTGATAAATATAAAAATTGACTGTGAAATAAGTTTAATTATTATATGCATATCCCGTACTCGTTAGCACTAGCTTTATTAGAGGAATTATGCACTACGTTTAGCTCATTTGATAGCATAAAATCAGATTTTTCATGGATTGAAACGTGATCTCCATCATCAAGGTGTAAGTCATTTGTATGAGTTAATTTTGCTCTAACTTTTTCTTTCTTGGATGCTACTACTTGTCTTTTTTATTTCTTTGCAAGGTTACCTCTATTATACCCCTCTATGCCAATTGGAAGTTTACCAATTCGAGCACCTAACTCCTGATTAGGGGCCATACTAGATGTCTGAAATCTGTTTTTGTAGCCCTCTTTTGCATTTCTAAAGAAAAATCGAGACCCTGATTGAAAAATGTCCCTAAATTATGAACAATTTTCACAATCAATGAAAAGGCTTTACCAGGTTTTACAATTAAAAAAAATTCAAGAATTAACCACAAGAATAGAAACTGCAAGCAACTCTACCACATCAACATCAATCAATTAAGACATTTGTATATCTCTTCTAAACTTTTGCAATGGCATTTTTATTCGCTTCTCTATCTAGCTTTTTATTAGTTTCACCCACTTTACCTTTTATACCAACTTGTATCGATTAAACAAAAAGAGTAGTGAAAGGCATACTATATAAGGCAACCTAATGCATTTCAAATTAGGAAGAGAAAAAAATACAATACAAATAACAATGTTCCATCTCCAAAAGCTAGGATCTATCAATATTAAAGCTCAGAAAACATTGCAAGACTTATGTACCATCACCAACCACTTCTTGTTTCATATAAAATATGTAGCAATTATTTGGAATGCTATCAATGGCATGCATAACCATAAAGTGTAGGAACGTAATCTTTTTCTCTATAGTGAAAAACTCACAGAACTATTTTGCTGCATTATTTAGATTATTAAGTTTCTTTTTGGGAACATTTGGGATATTTTGAAAACCCTTAATTATCATAGACTAAAAAGATATTGCATATGTAATGTATGCAATTAGTGGTAATTTGTAAGCTAATCTTTTTCATTTATCATTGTATGATATTGATATGGATTTAAATATGGATTCTTTTCTTTTTTTTTAAATAAGTTTCCAGTCTATTTCCTTGCATCTTTTTTCACTTCTTTCATATTCTTGTATGATAACTCATTTATTTCCGTACCTTCTCTACATTCTCTTTCTTTTAAACTCTATTATGATCACTTCAGACATCCTTTCATCTATTAATTATCTAAAACTAATATGAAGACCTCAATGCATGATCTAAATTCATCTTAGGGTATGTTTGGTTCCCCGTAGAATTGGGGTTTAGAATTGAAATTGGGATCCCAATTCCAAATCTTCAGTTTGGAGACAGTCAATGCCAGAGAATTAGAATTCAATTCGAATTCTATGGGCCATCAATTCCACAAATTCAATTCTTTGGTAAGACCTAAGAATCACAATTCTAATTCCATAATTTCACCTTCTATTCGGGTTAGTACGCGGATCCTAAGTGGATTAAATCAATAAAACGGGTCTCTGTATAATCAAAGAAAAAAATGAAAATGAAAGTCCTCTCTCTCTCTCGTCACAGACCAACTATCACTTCTTTTGCAGCTCCTTCTCCTCCACATCTTCCTTCTCCGCCTCCTCCCATCCTTCCTCCTCTGCCTCCACCTGTACTTCCATCGCTCACATCTTGTCTCTCCTCTTACTCATCTTCTTCCTCTGCCTCTTCCCACAATGAACATCTACTCTCATTTACGCATGCTAAGAGCGAAATTATAGGGTTTCTTTCTATAAATTGGCTCAAATCTAGTGTATCCAATAGCTGTAGCTAAAGATGATCGCCGGTGATGGCCTTCTAAGCACGACATGTTGTGGGCATCCCTTGTACATGGATTCTCCATTATTGGCCTTATCGATTTGAGGGTAATTTCTTGTTATTGACGCACTTACCTTGTAATTCTTTAAAATCTCATTCTGCTGATGACTTAGTCATTTCTGCCCTTCTTGTTGCTCTTCTACTCAGAAAAATGGATGTATGGTACTGGATCGAATGTATTGTTAAAAGACATCAGCTTATAGTTTGAAAGTTTTTTAACTTCATTTTCACATGAATTTTTCTTTCAGTTCTGTCTCTAAAGGGTGCGTACTTAAATTGCAGAACGTGATGGCCTCGATCTCCTGCGACAAAGCTGTTTGGGACGCCATCTTGAACAACAGGGCAGTTCAGGATCTCCGGGGCTCAATCTCTGCAGGTCATATGCAACAAATTTATTTGACAAAATTTTCAAAATATATACGTTTATTCCCCTGCCTCCTCTGTATGATTAATCAATTGCTGGTGAAGTAGTTGTGAAATATTTTATTAGATGTTGATGCATATTCATCTACATGTATTTTTGAAATTAGCATGAAAAATGGGAAAAGGGTTTTTTTATTTTTCTATATTCTTTGCTTGTGGATCATTGCGGGTTGGAAAAATTGAGGAATTTACTTGTTAAGGAAACTTTTTGTATTTTTAGTATGAAAATGAATAATATTTGTATCATGCCACTGATATGGACATGGAAGCAAGGAAACGAGAAAAAGTTCCTAAGTCACTGGAGCATGCAGAAAATTTAAGCACTCTCACTCCACTTGCCACAAAAACAGGGCATTTAGGATACTTTAATTGCAAAATTGTTGTGTGTACCGTATATTTCTTGAGCAGATCAAATGAACAATCATCTAGTTTTCGACCTTTGACTATTTTGATGAACATCCTGTGTCTGATGTATTGACTACCCTGATGGTAGTAGATACAGTATTCTTGTTGCAGAAATCTAGTTCCATTTCATAAATCAACTGTGACAATAAAAGGTAAAAGTAAACAAGAGGAGGCAGCCATGAGTTTTACCAGGATAAAAGCCTTGATGTTCTCTCTTGTCAGTCTTATGTCTGAGCTTTCGTCTTCAGATATATCGAGCAATATATCAACTAGATCCTTCATTTGTTGACCTGCATCATTGTTATGCCGACATTTCGTCCTTGTCTCTTGATGTTCCTCTATAATCTTCTCAATCATTACGTCAAACCTCTCAGCTGCATCTCTAATCCTCTTCTTGAATCCCTGTTTGAGTTCAATTATTTAAATGAAAAGCCTGTGGTATGCTACATAATTTTCTTCAGAATTGCATAAGTTAACTACTTGAGATAATTGATGTTACTCTTTTTTTTTTCACCCCTCTTTTTTGACATCGAAGTCCAATTAACCATAGAATGAGAAGATGAATTTGACCATGAAGTTCAGTCGCTGAACCATATAGTCAAATCTAGCTGAAAATTTGTGTATAGCCTCAGTAAATGTCATCACAAATTCTGGTGTGAACCCTTGATGGAAATCAAGTTAACCTGGTTTCAACTGATGTTCCTTATTTTCTTTTCGTGCAGGATGAGTCTTAGGACCATATAAAGAGGTAGCAACTTCATGAACTAGCCATGCTGAACTCAAATTTTAGAGAAGAGAGTCCAGGACCAAGTGGCAGCGTGTCACGTTTCAATACTAGTGGAATGAAATGTCCCAAAACTGGGCATTGAAATGTTGTATCCGCTGCTTCATTGAAGTACTTTCTCTTGACCTCTGATCTGCAGAGTTATGCCTGAACATATACAATTCGTGACTATCAACTCTCCTTACGGCTCAATGCGCAGCTACCTAAGTGAAGAATTGATATGAACAAACAAAGGGGTATTTGGAGATATGTGTTTTGGCTGGAATTTTTTTTTTGTTTTTAAGTTTCTATTTATTTACTGAAGAACATAAAACAGAGACAGAAACATGACGAGGCAGTTGAAGTAGGGGTGGAAACGGGAGAAGTAGAAATTGGTTTATACAGTTGGCCTCTTAAGTTAGGATTTATTTGTAACTGATAGTTTTTAGCTTTTTGGTTTTTACAGTTGAAGCATTTGATCAAGTGTTTTTGTTACATATGTAGGATTTATTTGTAACTGATTGTTTTCTTACCTTTTTTTCATGAAATATTGCTTCTTGATTTTGTAGTTATTGTCACATGAGTGAAAAATTGCTTCAACTTTTCCTCTCTCATATTTTTATCATGCCATTGGTACTTAATAGAGGAATTTGAGTTTTAGTTGTGCATAGCTATTATGATTGATGAATTCTTTTTTGAATTTTGCATAAGTATTAGAAATAAGAAAGAATTTTGCTTTATTATAATATATCAAAACACAGTTGAAAATACCACGGCTGAGATGGGGAAATATTTTTTCACAAAAAGGGATAATGGATCAAAACATGCTAAAGGCAATGCTCACCAAAGAAATTGATATGAGAGTGAGAAAAATAAATTATTAAAGGCACAAATTGGTTTTTTCTTTTAAATCTTTAGTAAAAATTAGCTAAATGTAAGAAAAAAAGAAATTATTATATAGAAAAAAGAAAAAAAGAAAAATTTTATGTAAGCATTTTCTTGAAAACAATTCTAATTCCTAATGAATTCTTCTCTCATACAAACAAAGAATTTGGAATTCCAAATAAATTTCGTATCAATTCTATGCATTTCCCAAACGAAAGAATTGGAATGATTTGGAATTCCAATTCTATAGAATTTCGATTCTAATTCAATTCTAATTCTATAGAAGCAAACGCACCCTTAGTCTAAACTTAGTTTCCATTTCTGCTATGAAATTTAAATGGCAAGTATTAGTCAATGCCTTCTTTTTAGTATAATTATGAACCTCACTTTAATACCATTAACTTTTTAATTGATAATTGTTGTAATTGAGGTAGCTATAGTACCTTGAGTCTCCAAAACTTATGGGTCTTTCTAGTATAACAGAATGAGTAGATATTATTTTAAACATGGCTTTAGAACACATTGGTTTTGGTTAAATTTGAGACTATCAAGAATTTTTAGTGTTTTCTTTTTTCTTTTCAATTGTACCCAAGATGGTTTTCTTAACTTTCCTAGACAGGCTAGGCCATTAGTCTGGAAAAATATTCTTTTTTTAAAGTTTAGGTTTGGATTTATTTGATTCCTTTAAATGATGCCCATACAACTAGAGAATTAGCACCATGTTGTTTTAGTACCATAAAGATTATCAATATCTCTTCCTTAATTACCTTGTTCCTTTGAATTGTTAATTGGATTGTCTGGTGGTCTACTTTTTTAAAAATTAAGATTATTTTTTATAGTAAAAATTTTAGAAATATGCTTTTACTTACAAAGATTGGCATGCACATTTAAGGTGCCTTTTGAATCCTTTTTTATTTAAAACGAAAAAGCAAAAATCAAAGTAAATAACTTATAAAAAAATTAGAAAAACTTGAGTCATTTTCATGAGACTAAATAGGTTGAACTCTAGTTATATTATGCAAATTACCCAAGAAATATAATATATGTGGCTAACTCAAAAACTAAATTCTTTGGTACAATATTTAGTTACATAAAAGGAGCCCAAAGTGTATTGAAGATGGATGGAGTTGGATTCCAACAATATGCAACCAAATAAGGTTGAGCTTATGGCAAATAGAAATGATATGATAACTCTTGCTAGTCCAAGAAAGAAGTGGTATAGAGAGAATTTGGACCAAGGTTGGTCATTCTAATGACCGTCCTCGAATGGCTGTATTTTGTATCACAACAAGAGACCCTAATTCAGCCATATCACTGGGAATGGGTATGTCAATGGATATGGTTTGATTTGAATCTCTTTGATCTAGATCGAGATTCATTAAATTTAGTTAGATCCAAACTCAAATCCAGATCCTTATGGGTCTGAAAAAATAAACCTAGACTCGGCCCCTCATGAATTTTTGTATTTAATAGGTATTCGTGAGTTTTTTTTTCTGAATACACTTTGTGAATAGTATATTTGGCTATTAATAGTTAGGCACATCCTATTAGAGCTGGAGCTAAACCAAGTAGCTCGGCTCGAGCTTGCGAGCTACTTGGTCAGCAACTCGAGCTCGAGCTCGGTTGACCAAGTTCGATCTCGAGCTCGAACTACTCATTAGAGCTATCGAGTCGAGTTCGATCTTGGAAATATGATACTCGAGAGCTCGACGAGCTCTATCGAGCTTTTTATAATATTTATTTTAATTTTTATTATTGTGAAATGTCAATAATATCCTTTATTTAAAATTATATATAAAATATTAATTTTTATTACTTGAGCTTGATTAGGCTTGATTGAGCTTGAATAATCTCGATTGAACTTGATTTGAATTAATTACATTTAATTAAACTCGAGCTCGAGTTCCATAAATTGATGTCGAACTCGAGCTCGAGCTCGAATTTTAAAAGCTTGCGGAGCTCGAGCTCAAGTTCGAGCTTAGTTATTTTGCCTCGAGTCGAGCTCGAGTAGTACTCGACAACACCCCTACATCCTATTGACACCATTTCAAATTTATGGTATAATTAGTATAGTTTCATATTAACTAATAGGTATTACAAGTTGATATAAAGATTTCCTTATTATTTAGATCGTCATGCATATTCTATAATTTGTAACTTGATATGATTGTTGCAAACTCATTTTCACTCACTAACCAAGTTATCATATTCTAGAACTAGTAAGGATAAGGAAACAATCCTTGCAGTGTCAGGTAGAAGGGAAAAGATCAATGATTTGTTTTAGAGGGAAAAGTTATTGATCAAATTTTACTAAAAGTTTATAATTTTGTACATTTTCTTTGTTAAATTGTTGTAGGTTTACTTTAATTTATTAGGTAGGATATTTTGGAAAATGGTAAATAACTTAATCTATGTAATTTTTTCAATGTGATTAACTTCAATGAATACAAATTCATTATTCCCAAATTTCTATATAAGTTCCTAAATAATGAGTAAGTGTGCATTTATTGTGGTTGCAATTAACTTACTTGAATCAAATTAGAGTTTTTTTTGCCAATCTAACTCTTTTTCAAAAAAATATACCCAAAATGATCTAATTTCCAATTTTATTACCTTTATAATCTATTTTTCACCACATAGGCTACATATATGTCTCGATAGAAATAGAGGCATGTTCAACTTCTCACTTCTAGTAATAGCATCTCATGACTCCCCTCTGTTCCTTCTCACCCTTCTTTTGTTCTTTTCATATCTTTTTCCTTGCTAAATGTATGAATGTTGAGAGAAACCAATATTTTGATTAAAAACATCTAAAACGCCATAATCATCCTTGAAATTGTTTCATTAGATGTAAATCTTGTCCTCAAATAGACAATCTCAAAGTAAGCAAAGACTATTCTTTTGCCTTTTTGATCGAGCAGTTCTAGAACATTCTTATGGCCTTTAGAAAATTTTGAATAATGATCATTTAACAAATAATTTTCTGCACCATATATTTTTTTATAAAAATGTGTAGAAGAAATCATATACTAATACCTAGTATACCTGACTTCCATCATATATTCAAGCATGTTTAGTTCTAGCATCCTTTGTTGTACATTACCAAATGAAAATTTTCTCATTAAGAATAATCATGGATCAAAGGTGCATTTACTAGATTTAAAATATTTTATTATAAGCCTTTTTTTTATCAACATTGATATCTTATTAATGATTTTTCCTTAGTATTATTTTATTCATAGAATTTATTGTTTGTCATTATTAGCTATATTTTTGGATGAGATGATGTCAAGAAGTAGTATAGCATTTTTTTGTTTCAATTTTTTATGAATCAATTTGGATGGATGCAGAGAATAAGAACTAATTATCTCATATGTTAATTCTAGAAAATTTGTGCTAGTACATATTGTTCATATAAAGTTGTCACTTGTGCATTGAAAAATTTTTGCGCATTTAGATTTCAACACGAATTGGTAGCTTGCGTTGCTTTTGAACAACATTAGCGCTATTTTAATTGCTTTAATAAATTTCTTTCACACTACATGAACTTTACCAATTCTAGTTTTGATTTAATCCAGTAGTACTTCACGTATAGGATAATATGACAAATAACATGTAAAGACTGGTTACAAGAATTTTCAAATGATAGACTATAGATATCCATTTCATTTACCCAAAATAGGGAGTATTCTATAACTAGTGATAATTCTTCATTTTTTTCATTCCCGGCCTCTTATTTGTGGTGTTCAAATAAAGCTCATCATTCTACTGCCTAAACTCAATAGCATTATAGTGCATGAACATAGGAATCAGTGAATTGCATAATGATATTCTTATGTTTATTCTCTACTTACTAACACAAGGAAGCTTCATCTATATAAGTGTTCGTTTAAATATTTCAAATTTGCTTGCAACTAGCATGATTAGCGGAACACCTATTTCAATTGAAAATCTGCAATAATTACACTACGATTAAGGTTTTTTGTACTTAAGTTCATCATACTTTGAATATCTTGTTTCTTAGTTCTTTGCATAAAATATGCATGTTGGGATTTTTACTGCATTTTTAAATTTCAATAGAAAGCATATTTTTGTTCGTCTTTCCCTTGCAACATGAATTTGTTTTTTAAGTTGCAAGATGCCTTTTGGCATTTATACTTGTCAACTATGCATATAATAATTTGGTAGTTTTCAATTTGTATCTCGAAAATAAAAATTTCAACTTGATTACTTTTTGTAAAATTTCTTTTCTAGGAGTTGAAAAGATATCATAAACAATTACCATATGCTTAAAATTTCTATATTTTTTGTGTTATTATTTATATTTTTTTAGCAATTTTTGTATTTTTCCAATTAATCTTTTGAATCAAATATACTCAATAGTTTTGACAAATTGCCAAAAAAATATGCAAAGACCAATGATAGCAAGGTTGATAGTAGTTCAATTTATTTTAAGTAATTATGCATGAATGATTAAAGCTATGCAATCTTCCTATTCCTCTATATTAATTTCAAATTTTTAACTCATGTTGGATAGTAAAGAATTTATACATTTACTTCACTAGTGATGACTAGATTGAGACTTCACTAGTGCCATTATTAAAAGTTGAAAATTCCATTTTCATGGGACTTTTTCTTATAATGCCATGAAAAAGTTTTTTGTCGTGGCAACTTTTCTATAGTGCCATGAAATAAATGTTCTACAAAATAGATGCTTAAAAGTGCATGT